AATATGCAAAAACTGACAGATAAAAATAAAAATTTATTTTTAGAACTTGACAACTAAATGTGAACGGAGGGAGTATATGTTTGACAGTATAATTTGTTAGTTTCAGCACTTTGTGTCCTATGACCAAAAGGTGAGCAAAAGATTACGATATCCTAAAGATAAGATTAGAAATATTAGAGGCATTGTAATATTAGAAATTTCCTATTCTCTAGATCTTCAATGATAGAATATATCAAATTAGGGGTGTACATGAACAGGATTGGTTCGATTTTTATCAAATCAAACCAAATCAACTATATCGGTTTGGATTGGTTCGGTTTTGTCGGGTTTTTTTGGAATTTTGGGTTTTTTTGTAATATGAATATTATTTTAATTTTACTTTGTTAAAATTATAGATAAAGCTTTGATAAATGAATATATGTTTCGTAAAACCAATCTTACTTCGGCTAGCAATACCAAACCAAGTCAAACCAAACCTAGTCGGATTTTTTAATCGGTTTGATTTAATTTTTCGGTTTGATGCAGTTTTCCGGTTCGGTTTAAACACTCCTATACCAAGGGGATGAGGTAAGATGAACAGGATACTTTCACCCTTAATTAAAGATCTGAATTAGTGAGAACAGTGAGTATCAAATAGCAAAGGATTAGTAGGGAGTATTATTTCTCCTTTAATAGGTCTCCTACGACGTGAATACGGATTAGTGAGAACAGTGAGTATCAAATACTAAAGGGTTAAACAAACATAAACAATATTTACCATTTAGGATTGATTAAAATAATATATTACGAAATAATGGATAACAAATATCCAAACAAGCTGCTAACCACAAACATTTCCATGTAAAAGTTATATTGATTATATGCATTTGAAATCATTGCTTTTGATAATGCTTTAAGCACAAACATTTCCTTGTAAGAATTGATTATGCATCAACTGTAATAGCACAATAAATACATAATTAGACATTTCTTCATTTTTATATAGGACCACAGGGGTGTACATAGGTCGGGTTGATTTAGATTTTATAATTACCAAACTAAATCAATTGTGTCGGGTTATTAAATCAAAAGACTAAACCAAACCAATAAAACTCGGGTTTTTCACTTTCGGGTTTTCTCGGATTTTCGGGTTTTTTCGGGCTTTTTTCCGGTAAAATCGTCGTAAAACAAAACATATAAATTGTGCTCAAAATATTCTCTTAGTCCTAGTAAGATACAACTATATAAAGTATTTTCCAAGAAAATAATACAAAATATGAGATAAGTCATGGCATTATCCTAAAATATTCAATAATAAAGACAATAAAATTATGTAATATAAATATTGCTAATTAAAAAGTCATAATAAAAGTAAACATAATCTAAAAGTACAAAGTCATGCTAAAATAAGTAAACTAATAAGGGAGTATTAATTATATAACTAAACGCTAAAGAAAAAATAAAAATAGGTTAAACATTTTTATCTAAATTATTGCAAAACAAAAATAGATATTTAATACATTCCCGTTTTTAGTATTGAATTGAATGTATTTTGTTAGCATTAATATTGATTTGATTTTGGTTTGGGCTTTTGTTAGTACTATTTAATTTACTAATGTTAATAGCTATAAACTTATTGGAACATTCAAAAGTTCTAAGTCCAACCTTGAAATAATACCTCAAAAGATAAAATTATAAAATCTTTTAATAAATATTTATAAATTACATCACAGTAAGTATATTTATACATAAAATATATCTAAAATTTCTATATATATGTAATGTCGGGTTGGTTTGGTTTCGGTTTGACTTTCTTTAGTTAAAACCAAACCAAACCAATTATGGTCGAATTTTTTTTCCAACACCAAACCAAATCAAACCAAACCATAGCCGGTTTTTTTTTCTCGCTTTGACTCGGATTATCGGGTTGGTGCGGTTTCTCGGTTTCTTTTGTACACCCTTATAGGACTATATAGAGAAGAGTTAGCTAAAACCCAACTGTTAGGATAATCCTACCCCCAAAAAAGGTAAAAATAGCATGAGCTAACCAGTTTTCAGATTGGTCATTAAAAAATAGCCAGCGTTTGCAAAGTCATTGAAAAATAGCCACTATTTTACTGCAACACGGAAAGTTCTAGCATAATATACTAGAGATTGGTGCACCTGTGTATGAACTTCCAGCATATTTTGGTGGAACTCCAACATGTGAAAAGTTCCAGTATATTTGCTAGACCGGTATATTATATTGGAACTCTAGTAAATTATACCGGAACTCCAATATAATATACTGGATTCCAGTATACTTATGTTGAAACTCCAATATAATATACTGGAGTTCTAGTATTATTATACTGGAGTATTTTTCGAATTTTGAACAGTGTTTTCGTTAAGATTTATCTTTATATGAAAAGTGACTAAATTTCAATTACTTTTAAAACTGAGACTATTTTTGAATGACCACATGTAAATATGACTATTTTTGAATTTCTTCCCAAAAAAACAAAAGAGGTTTGGATATCAGTACTGGATTTTATATCATGGGCCTATTATAAGTTAAGTTCTACACTGTTATCCACACAAAACAATGTTGCAGATATCTCAATCCTTAATATACTTACTTGTTACTACTATATATATATATATATATATATATATATACCTTATTTAATAAATAGATTTTAATTGCATGTTCTTATGGATTATGTATTTATTAATCTGCTTTTGTTTTTTGTACAACAAAAGATAAAATCTATTGTAGGCCCGGAGAATTATTAGATAGTATTTAATAGAAATAAGTAATATTTCAAATATGTAATCAATGTTGAGATGGCCGAGTTGGTCTAAGGCGCCAGATTAAGGTTCTGGTCCGAAAGGGCGTGGGTTCAAATCCCACTCTCAACAATTTACTTTTCCTCCTTTTTCCATCTAGATATATATATATTTTGCTAACCTACTACATGATTGTAGCATTGTATACACATTTGATATCTCCAAAATGTCCTTATTATTTGCTACCATCTCATTAATAGCGAGGACCTTTTTTTGTCTTTTCACAAAATTCCACATTTCATTAACCTTTTCCATTCTACAACTATCAGGCGGGAAACATTTCCCCCTCTATTTTTCTTCTTCAGTCAATGCTCTTCTCAGATTCTAGAAGGTTTTTTTTTTTATTNTTTTTTTTTTTTTTTTTTTTTTTTTTTTTTTTTTTTTTTTTTTTTTTTATCTATTTTGGTTGCACCTTGATTAATACTGCAATGAATATATGAGTTTAGTATTCTAATTTCTCTTCATTCAGTGATCAGAATCATGGTGTACATTTTTTGTAAGTTTTTTATTTATTTGTTTATACCCAGCAATTAGTTTATCTTATTTTATTCGATAGAAACCACCATTCTT